GGCGTGCTGGATACCACCGACCCACTTGGCTGGATGGATGCCCTTTTGCTTTGACCCATCGATGTCGACGGAAGTCCTCCCCAGCGGCCACTAGTCAGCAGCGGTGACGGTAGGCCTGCCCCTCACCCCGAACTCCACAGTAGAAGCGGCAGTGACGTTGCTAGCAGTAGCGATGCCTCCTGCGACTCACTCGCCCGGGAGTCCTACCACTCATGCCGTTCCCTTTCCTTACAGCTGGAGGAAGACGAGGAGCAGTCGGCGCGTGGCGCACCCACCCTTGTGGACCGGTGGGGGAAGTTGACGCACGGTGCTGATGGTGTGCTGTTGGCGAGTTTCCTCTCCCGGGCAAATAACACGTCCCCGACGCAGACGCGGCGAAACAGCCCGGGACGAATCGCGGCGACGCTCCAGTGCTTGAACAGAGTCAACAGCACTGGCTGCATTATCGCCCGCCACTCCATCACACTGCACCCGCGGCCGGGGCTGACGGTGGAGATGCCGGAGGAGAATAAGGAGGAGTTTTGCGTCGAGCTTATGACACTCATGCAGCAAAAGTCGGATGGTAACAAGACTGCGAGAGGCTCTGGAGAGCTGCTCTTACCGCGTGGCAATTTCACGGACGCGGGGAGCAGTGCCAATCGTATTGAATTGGAGAGGGAGGAGGCGGGCGTAGTCGCGGCCTCCAGAGGACGCGGGTCCGTCAAACTCATCCTGCCCCCATCCGCCACACGTCCGCGCAGCTCTCAAGCTTCCGGGAATATGTTGGCGGACGTCCACCCGTTGTGTGCACCACGGCCAATAGAAGAGGAAGAGGAGCTGGACAAAGACGACAGGGAGCGGAACCCCCGGGTGAATCCGTTGGGCGCATCAGAGGAGGCGCCAACCGACATGGCAGCTCCCTCAGTAGCCGTTCCACTTCAAAGGCAAAAGGGCGTGGCCGATAAGGGACGAGCTGCTGGGAAAGTCAGGCCAAGGCGCGGGACGACGCACAGCGACAGTGCCAGTAGCAGTTCCGTGAAAAAGAGCGGGAAAAAGTCTTCGCGGGGCGGTTTCTTTTCCCGGATCCGCTGCACTTCATAAGAGAGCCATTTCCATCCACCGTTTATGTTTGTCTGTTTTGCTTTGTAATTGCTGTTTGCAAAATACGCCCATTTGTGTGGCGGTGCTCATTTTATATGTTTTTATGCGTGTGGTGCTCGTTTCTGCTGGGGTGGCGGATCTTCCTTTTTTGATTAGTTTATTGTGCGCATATTTTTGTGATTTCGTGTGCCTGTCGCTGCGTGTAATTTGTGCGGCTTTTGTGCCTGGAAGGGTTATAAATGGGACGGAGAGAGGAGCGGCACGGCGTTATTTTGTTGACCGCACGCAGTATTTTCCATTCCACTTGC